ACAAGCACCCTTTCTGAAAATGAACTGTCATCTGGGTCGAAATTGAGCACCACTGGGAATGGGGGATTTGTAGACTGACAAGGGCCAAAGGAACTTTTAAGGAAATATTGGATATAGCTTTCTCATTATTCATTGGTCTTGTGACGTTATCTAAACAACAGTTTATTGATTTTACCAATTATTTCCAAATGGGAAAGAAATAAGGTTTGTTCTCACTTCCCCGATAATATATTTCTATCAGGCCAGGCGCGGTGGCTCAAGCCTGTAATCCCGGCACTTTGGGAGGCCGAGACGGGCGGATCACGAGATCAGGAGATCGAAACCATCCTGGCTAACACGGTGAAACCCCGTCTCTACTAAAAAATACAAAACAACTAGCCGGGCGTGGTGGCAGGCGCCTGTAGTCCCAGCTACTCGGGAGGCTGAGGCAGGAGAATGGCGTAAACCCGGGAGGCAGAGCTTGCAGTGAGCCGAGATCGCGCCACTGCACTCCAGCCTGGGTGACAGAGCAAGACTCCATCTCGGGAAAAAAAATATATATATAAATATATATATATATATATATTTTTCTATCAATAAGGTTAGTTACCTTTTTTCCCAGTAGTTTAAAAGGTGGATTGTGATTTATTAAAGTCACCTGTTAAATTACTGACTTTTATTTACATATTTTAATAGTAATTCTTTCTATTATATTTGGTTACATACGTTCAGAAGATAATTTGTGTATTGGTTTCCTTTCAATTTTTTGGTATTAATACTGCATTTTGTTATCAGTTTTTTGTTGATCTAAAGAATATTTCCTTTATCTTCACATACATTTAGGTTTTTCTGGGTTTTTTTTGACCTTGACTTCTTTCTGCTACTTCTTTTGAGCAAAACCTTAAACAGCAGGCTGAATGGCCTTGAGGTGTAGTTTTAATAAAAGCGTCACTGAGTAATCATTTAGTATAAACTCCCAACCAGATACATTAATGGAAAAAAAAGAAAGCAATATATTTTCAAGGTTAACTTTCTTTATGGTTGCTTCCAAGAATAACACATGGTCATTGAATTTATTTAATTTTTGCCTGTATTCAACTATATTTAAGGTTCATATTTCTGATGAGAACAAAAAATTCATAGGTTCAAGAGACCAAATTGTCAAAGAATTTATAAACCATGGGGTTTGCATATGTAGAACTGTAGTCAATTCAGCAGGAACATGCCTAGAAATACCCTATTGATCAGAGAGAGAGTTTGCTGTTGGGTGTTTCACTAAAAAATTGAAGGCTTTTCTCCCTCTTTTATTTTTGACGTTATTAAATATTCTCACAACCTAAACAGATATAATTTTTGCTTTCTTAGAAAAAACCATATATTTTAAAGCACGTATTTACTTTGTGAATTTTAAAATTAATTTGATGACTTCATCTGAAAATTGAATAAGCACTTAACTGAAGCACAGCTACTTTTGAAACCTTCGGAATGTGCAGCAGCTCTAATTCATTCCATAACTCGTCATTCAGGGAATATCAGCAAACGGCTACTATCTGTACAGTCCTTTTGCCTCTACTCGACCCTATTAACAAATAAATTAAAACAATTTGTGGAGCATTACTTATAGTTGTTATCCCCTTGGAAAATCACAACCATCAAGACAGTTGTAAAATAATGAAAACATGAAATAATGAAAAATAACAAGCAGCTACTTAAATGCTTTTATTTTTCTGAGAATGTATTAAATTTTTTGTGAAGAGAGCTGTATTTCACACTTAAGCCTCCACTTTCCTGGGAAAGGAGGTGATAATATTTATACTGAGGTCTCTGTGCTGAGTACTGGAGAGGGAGAGAGCCAGGAAATCCTAGAGAACTGGAGAGACTGGTCTGGTGGCAGCCGCTTGTTTAAAAAGCTGCATCCTTTGGGCTTCAAGGTGGACTGTGCCTCCTTCAGCCATTTCCTAGTGCAGTGATCTTGAGCAACTTATTGATTTTGGCCCTCTGTAAAATGAGAGGAGTTCACCATATTACTTATTTTCAAACCTTTCTCATAGGGCACAAGGGTTTCTTGGAGTCTCCCCAAGAGTCCTAGGGTAGGTTGAATGGGAGACTGAGCCAGAACAGTTTCTCTTGTGATGTATTTACAGGTTTGTTTTTGTTTTTGTTTTTTTTTTCAGTAAAGGGTTGTTTAACTTAAAAAAGCATGATGACTCCCCACATCCCTGCTAGCTTAACAAAAGCACATTGTTCAGTTTGTAGTCATTTTTTCCTTCATTTCTTTTTGGGAGGGAGGCCTATAGTCATGACTGACTCTAAAAGATAACCTTATGGGCCGGGTGCGGCGGCTCACGCCTGTAATCCCAACACTTTGAGAGGCTGAGGCGGGCAGATTGCCTGAGGTCAGGAGTTCGAGACCAGTCTGGCCAACATGGTGAAACCCCATCTCTACCCAAAAAAAAAAAATTAGCCAGGCGTGGTGGCGCGCGCCTGTAATCCCAACTACTCAGGAGGCTGAGGCAGGAGAATTGCTTGAACCAGGAAGATGGAGGTTGCAGTAAACCGAGATTGTGCCACTGCACTCTACCCTGGGTGACAGAGTGAGACTCTGTCTCAGAAAAAAAAAAAAAGGATTACCTTATGAATACAGCTGAGAAGGGAAAGTACTGAATTAGTGTTTGGATTTGGAAAGACTGAGGGAATGAACCCATACAAGAGCATCATTTCCTCTTTTAGAAATGGGTAGGGAGGGGCTGGGCACGGTGGCTCACGCCTGTAATCCCAGCACTTTGGGAGACCAAGGCGGGCGGATCACGAGGTCAGGAGATCGAGACCATCCTGGCTAACACGGTGACACCCCGTCTCTACCAAAAATACAAAAAAAAATTAGCCAGTCGTGGTGGCGGGCGCCTGTAGTCCCAGCTACTCGGGAGGCTGAGGCAGGAGAATGGCGTGAACCCAGGAGGCGGAGCTTGCAGTGAGCCGAGATGGCGCCACTGCACTGCAGCCTGGGCGACAGAGCGACACTCCGTCTCAAAAAAAAAAAAAAAAAATGGGTAGGGAGAGGGGAGGAAAGAAAAGATAACACACGCAGAGACCCGCATAGGATTTTAGCCCTGGAAGAAAATCCCCCTACTTGGACAAAAGCTTGGGATTGGGAGCAGTGAGAGATTGAAAAGAACTCACGAAAAGTGGAAAACTAAAGAGAACATTAGTCTTAACTTTTTTAACATTTAAGATAATAATTTTATAAATCAATTTTCTCATATTTCAAATATAGATGGTGTACCCTATTATTTGCTTTGGGAAATTTTTTAAGCTTTCAGGATTCCCTATAAATTAGAACAAATTGGTAGCATTCATATTTCACAATACAATTGTTTCAGAAGTTATTCATGGCTATTTTCTGTTGGTTTGTTCATGTAAATAGACAATTGAAAAAGCTACTTGAGTTATTGTTTTATATTGCCTACGAAATAACCAAACAAGCATCTGTAGTAAAACTAATAGGTCAGTTTCCCAGTTATATATAAGGACCTAGATTTTTTTGTCACTCATGAGGTGAGAACAAGGAAAGTGGTAGTCATCCTTGGACCCCACGTTGGGCAGTTTCTTACATCCTGTCTCTCTGCCTGGTATAATGGGTTAACCAATTCCAGAGTCAGGCAGCCTGGACCCAAATCCTAGCCAAATGACTTCTCTTTTACCTCTCTGTGCCATTGTTTTCTTACCTATGATGGAAGTAATTACATTTCCTACTTTGTAAAGGTTGTTACAGGGATTAAATGAATTAATTTATGTTATATGTTTATCAACGTGATTCCTCACCCCCTGGTTGGCATGGCATTGTGTATTTGCTATTATTATTGCACAGAAAAGCAGAGATTTTAATCGTAAGTGAAACTCCAGTGCACTTGAGAGACAAGAAACTCTATATACTGAGGTCAATGAAAAAGTATAAATTTGGGAGAATCAACTCAGAAAACATTAATCTTGCATGCTTCTATGAGAAGGATAGGTCCCAAGAGAAGGCAGAGTGCCAGGGACCATTCAGCATGCCCTGATTCGGACCAGGGATTAAAACATCCTGAACTACCATTGTGGAATTAGAGTGGAAGAAGGAGAAAGATGTGTGGGAGATTACAGACTTATATCAGGAAGAGGAAGAAGACCAACCTTACGCTCTCCACCTGGGTAACTAGCATTATGGATGCATCATTAATAGAAGTAAGAAGCCCAGAACTTCTTTGCTTTCTGAACAATTTCTATATATTGAGAAATAAGGAATATACAGTTTTAAAGACTAATAAAGATTAAATGTAGTCTTATCATATTGTACTATATTACCTATGTAACAATTAAATACCTAAGGCCAGGCATGGTGGCTCATGCCTGCAATCCCAGCACGTCGGGAGCCCAAGGCGGGCAGATAGCTTGAGCCCAAGGAGTCCGATACCAGCAGGGCAACATGGCAAAACCCCGTCTCTACAAAAAAACAAAAAAAAATTTAGCCAAGTGTAGTGGTGCACACCTGTAGTCCCAGCTACTCGGGCAGCTGAGGCAAGAGGATCACTTGCGCCTTGAAGGTCGAGGCTGCAGTGAGCCATGATCGTAATTGTACCACTGCACTTCAGCATGGGCAACAGAGCGAGACCCTATCTCTGCAAAAAATAAAAATAAATAAATAACTTATAGTATTCATAAAGAAGCAAGTAGATAACATCTTTTAAAGAACTTTCTTCCAATTAAGAAAAATAGTTCCTGTTTTCCCAATTCCTTGATTTAGATTCCTAGATTATATTGTATCAAGCCCCAGAGATTTATTAATCTTTGCTCCTTCTATCCCAAGACTGTTGATGTAGTAAAGAACTCAAACATAAAACCTGTTGAAAATTAAACCATCACTTTCTGCATTTGACCCAACATACTATGTATACAGAAACACATACATACATACATACATGTAATTATTCAGAGTTGCAAATAATTTTCTTCTGTTGTTTCATGAGTATTTTTATTATTTCCAGGTTCGATGGATGATGTACTGGATTGTTTTTGCTCTCTATACTGTGATTGAAACAGTAGCAGATCAAACAGTTGCTTGGTAAGTTTTGCTGTTAAGAAGGGGCCAGATTGCAGACTCATAATCAGGTGTCCTGAGCTCTTATCCTTGCTCTTGCTATTAACTAAGTGATTTTCATCAAGTTACCTAATTATTCAGCCATTTGTTTTTGTCATCTGCTTTCCCATAGAACACTACTTTCCTTTGAGTCCCCATTAAATAAAGGCAGCTCATTTTCCTCCCCATACGCCACTCCCTGCTCACCTCCCACACACCTTCCCCCAGTATCTTGGAATAGGGAAAGTTGATTGTCATCATCCTTTTCTGCACTGATGACTTCAGAACATTTTCCTGTATCACTTCCTAAATGACTCTGCTTTTGAAGCCCACAGCATCTGGTTTTAGCACCCCCTCCCTGTCCTATCCTTAAAACTCTCATCTACAAACATTTGAACTGGAAAACGTCAGCACCCACGTGGACACCCACTCAGCACCAGCTTCCTGGCTGCTCTGTTCCAAATAGAGGAGGCAAAAATTAAAGTGTGTTTATATCCTCAGGGATTTGACATTTTACCAAGGAGCAGTACTTAACTGGACAACTCGAATCTCCCTGTGGTGTATTTCAGTAGTGCATTTCCATCTAAACCCTGCCATCACTTTGAGAACTTCTCCTTTCAAAGCATTTTGGTTTACTACCTTGCTGATATCTTCATCTGCCCTTGACACACAAACCTTCTGTCTAAATTAGCCTAACAATTACTCGTCTTTTTTTTTTTTCTTTTTTTTTTTTTTTTTTACATAGGGTCTTGCTCTGTTGCCTAGGCTGGAATGCAGTGGCGCGATCTTGGCTCACTGCAGCCTCTAACTCCTGGGTTCAAGCGATTCTCCTGCCTCAGCCTCCTCAGTAGCTGGGATTATAGGCACATGCCACCATGGCCTGGCTAATTTTTGTATTTTTAGTAGAGACGGGGTTTCACCATGTTGGCCAGGCTTGTCTCAAACTCCCAGCCTCAGGTTATCTGCCCACCTCGGCCTCCCGAAGTGCAGGGATTGCAGGCATTAGCCACTGCAACCAGCCAAAGTGACTCTTTTTTACTTCTTTAACTGAACTGCTAAATTCAGCTGAAAAAATTAATCAACTGCTCACATAGGTATAAATTAATCAACTGCTCACATAGGTATCAGTTTGAACCTCATTCCTTTTATTTGCTCCTGATCAGTGTCTACTTACATTTTGCCTGGGTCTGTTTCAAACCTTTACTATTCTCTCCTTAAGCTGTCTTTCCCATTTTGCTATTCTCCTATTCATGTAGCACTTTAAGACCTATTGGATTTGCTAGAAAAAAAATAGAAGTCATCAAACTAAAATATTTTTAGCAACCTTCCTTTATTTGCAAATGTCACTCTATCTCTCTTCTGATTTGAAATACTGTAAAAATGTCCCTTCCTGTGCCCCAAAGCTCATTCATTTTTCTGTTACATTTTTGGTACAGGGGTTTGGTGCGGGGGTCTCTTTGTTTTTAAGTGACAGAGCACAAATCCTAAACCATGCTACCTCTAAGTTTCCAAGTTCTTTTTGTAAGATTTCATTTTTTTCTGATTGCAAATGTAGCCTATATATGTTATTTAAAAATGAACGATGTAGAAAATGTCTAACATGAACAACTGAATCCAGAAACTCCTGTAATTGCAGTGTGGCAGAGACCTCTTTGTTGACAACACAGTAAGTCATCCTCACTGCCCTCTACCTGCCTGCCTTGACAGAAGAACTCACATTTGCTCAGCTATCATTTATCCTAGTAATAAATGGACTACATTTATGTGGTTCTCACAAGATACTGAGCCTCCCATTATATATTAGCAAACTTTCGCTGTGACAAAAAAACAACCATGAAAGTACAATGGCTTAGAAAAACAAACTTATTTCTTGCTCAAGCTACATGAGGGCAAATGGTTGACTGCATTTTTACTGGGGTCAGGTTACTTTTGCTGTTGTTTTTGTTGTTGTTTTAGAGACAGGGTCTTGCTCTGTTGCCCAAGCTGGAGTGCAATGGCATGATGATAGCTCACCACACCCTTGAACTCCTGGAGTAAGGCAATCCTCCCAACTTGGCCTCCCAAAGTGCTGGGATTACAGGTGTGAGGACCTCACCTGGCCCCTTAAACCAAGGCTGAAGAAGCAGCTATTCTCATGCCAGAGGGCAAAAGCTTAAAGCAAGAGGTTGAGGGTGATGGAGTGAAGGAGTCAAGGGGTGTTCTAAAGCTTCTGCTTGCGTGTGACATGTATCATGTTCATTTTCTGCTGGCCAAAGCAAGCAAGTCACATGGTTAAAGCCACAGTTGAGGAAGTATACTGGGCCAACAGGGGAGGCCCACTGTAACACTTTGTATGTTCCTTGGAAGTGAACAATTTAGGTCTGCAGAGTGCTGCAATTCTGGCCAAATGAAATTGGAAGGGATATTTTTTGGGAGTTCTGAAAAAGATGAAGATGTGTGTATGGGGTAGACATTGTACACTTGGAGCATATGAAGTCATGCTCTGATAGGCACAACTATCATATGAGGTAGGTCACGTACTTCCATGGCAGTTTGGCTCTGCAGATAGGGTGGCCATACCTTGTGCACTGGATAAATGGTATTAGTGCCTTCTTTTAACTGCTGCATTGTTTGGCAGCTTTCCTATGCTTACTATAAAGGAAGATTCTTGTATTAGAAGGAGGGGGGAATCTCTCAGGTCACACTTTCATGAACTGATCTGTAGTTGAAACAAGATTATTCAAACACAGTTGTCTTCTGATCACTCTTACATTTAAAAACTTAGCATAGGCCGGGCATGGTGGCTCATGCCTGTAATCCCACCACTTTGGGAGGCCAAGGCAGGTAGATCACATGAGGTCAGGAGTTCGAGACCAGACCTGGACAACATGGTGAAACCCTGTCTCTACTAAAAATACAAAAACTAGCCGGGAGTGGTGACACGCACCTGTAATCCTAACTACTGGGGAGGCTGAGGCAGGAGAATCACTGGAACCCAGGAGGCGGAGGTTGCAGTGAGCCGAGATGGTGCCATTGCACTCCAACCTGGATGACAAGAGCAAAACTCTGTCTGAAAAAGAAAAAAAAAAAAAAAAAGCATAGTGACTGAACTTTTAAAAGGTGTTTTTGTGATTTCTAGAGTGGTTTATTTTTCACTGGCAGTTTATTTCCAAATGTTTTTCTTATTAGGTTTCCCCTGTACTATGAGCTGAAGATTGCTTTTGTCGTATGGCTGCTTTCTCCCTATACCAAAGGAGCAAGTTTAATATATAGAAAATTCCTTCATCCACTTCTTTCTTCAAAGGAAAGGGTAAGATATATAAATTACTTCCATAAATTTTTAAGAAATGCCTAAGCCAAGGCCAGGTATGGTGGCTCATACCTGTAATCTCAGCACTTTAGGAGGCTGAGGTGGGTGGATCACTTGAGGCCAGGAATATGAGACCAGCCTGACCAACTTGGTGAAACCCTACCTCTACTAAAAATACAAAAAAACGTTAGCCAGGTATGGTGGTGCATGCCTATAATACCAGTTAGTTAGGAGGCTGAGGCAGGAGAATCGCTTGAACCCAGGAGATGGAGATTGCAGTGAGCTGAGATCTCACCACTGCACTCTAGTCTGAGCGACAGAGCGAGACTCCATCTCAAAAAAAAAAAAAAAAACAGGCCAGGCGCAGTGGCTCACGCCTGTAATCTCAGCGCTTCGGGAGGCTGAGGCAGGCAGATCACGAGGTCCGGAGATCGAGACCATCCTGGCTAACACGGTGAAGCCCTGTGTCTACTAAAAATACAAAAAATTAGCTGGGCGTGGTGGCGGGCGCCCGTAGTCCCAGCTACTCAGGAGCCTGAGGCAGGAGAATGGCGTGAACCCAGGAGGCGGAGTTTGCAGTGAGCTGAGATTGTGCCACTGCACTCCATCCTGGGTGAGAGAGCGAGACTGCCTCAAAAAAAAAATAAAAAAATAAAAAAAAAAGAAGCTCCTAGGCTGGGTGCAGTGGCTCATGCCTGTAATCCCAACACTTTGGGAAGCCAAGGTGGGAGGATTGCTTGAGCCCAGGAGTTTGAGACTAGCCTAGGCAACATAGTGAGACCCCCATCTCTACAAAAAAATTAAAAATTATTTGGTCACGGTGGTGCACGCTTATTGTCCCATGCCACTGCATTCCAGTTTAGGCAAAAGGAAGAGACCCTCTCTCAAAAAAAAGAAAAGAAAAGAAAGAAATGCCTATCAACACATGCTTAATGCTATAAAATTTGTGAAACTATTATAGGGAGAATGTTCTATTTTGGGGCTTCTTAACACTATTTTTAAGTAAAACTAACATCTGTGGCTTTTTCCCCCAGGAGATTGATGATTATATTGTACAAGCAAAGGAACGAGGCTATGAAACCATGGTAAACTTTGGACGGCAAGGTTTAAACCTTGCGGCTACTGCTGCTGTTACTGCAGCAGTAAAGGTAATTGTTCATTTACCTTTTTAATCCAGTATCACATTAAGTTAACAAATAAAGAAAAGTGACTTTTTATTTCAAACCATTATAAAATTTTGGCATTTTGCTGTATGTTTATTTTTCTAATACTGGAAAACAAGTAAATAATTTTAAAGATATTTTAATTTTATATTTTCTATACTTGATATTTTGAATCTCTTAATTGATCACAAAATGACAGGTAGTTAATAAATAATACATGCCTGAAAATGTCATGTAGTCATAATGTTCCCACTTAATGACCTTAAAGTAGTTTGAGTAAAGCACCTGAAGTAAAGATGACCATTGTTTCTTTCTCTGTCTTTGGTGTTCTTTCTCTCTCTTTTTTTCTGTGTCTTTCTCAATGGCAATATCTTGGTAGGATTTCTGGCTTACTTCTGCACCTCTACTTCAATCAATTTGAGGTAACTGATTATTCAAAATAAAGCATGAAAAAGTCTGTTCTTAAAACTTGGTACTTAGCCAATTACTAATGTCATTTGTTATGTTTGCAAGCCAAGTTATCAAATGAATGTGTTCCGTAAAAATTTGCATTATGGTTTTGGATTTCTTTGCATGTTGTAATTTGTGTGGTTTATTTTAAATACTTTAGCATAATTGATTTTGGTGTGTTTGGTATGGAAAGAAAATAGCCTTCTGTGTTCCTTAGTTGCTTCATGTATAAAATGGGGGTGATATACCTGTGAGAATATATAAAAGCACAGTGCTTGCTTGCGTATAGTAGGAGCCCAATAAACATAAATATCATGTGTCTATCTCCATTCAAGATTCAAGTGAAAATTTAAGGTTTTTGCTATTAAATTAAATTGAGACTGAATAGTATTCTGCTTTCAAGTTAGTCTCTTAGTTATCTTGAACTAAAACAACAATGCTATGGAAACAAATATTCTAGTTAAGTGGTGATTTTATATAACTGTAATGGCGAAGGGATATGAAATGAGGGCACTTTCACTTTTCAGAGAGGTTTTTGGCTCAAGTATCAAACTGAATATAATGAATAAGAAGGAAAATTCAAATTAGCATTACATTGAGGGTTAAATGGAAATTTATTAACTGCAGCACTATACACTATATTATTAAGACAACTATATTATTAATGATTATTAATGATCAGCACTTTAATATAGCATAGTTTTCCTGTTATTTGGCCTCTAAAGGCTTTTTCTTTTATTAGGATAGGTTTATAAATGAATACAGAAATAGCAAAGTTTTCAGCTTAAAGGGCTACGTTTTATTTTAGAAGTTCATTTTGCTTTTTATTTCTTGCTTAGTGAAAATGCATTCCTGATTTCCATATCTGCTAAAAAAAGATTATCCAGGAGATAATCCAGCCACTGGGAATTCTAAAAAGAGGGAATAGATGCAATTATCAAAGAAATAATATAATAATATTTCCCAGAACTGAAGGATATGAATCTTCAGATTGAAAGGTCCCACCAAGTACTTAGCACAATGAATGAAAAGAATGACTGACTCTAAGTGAAGTTATTGGGTATCCCAAAACACCAGTGATAAGGAAAGAATTCATAAAGATTCCAAATATAAAAAGCATGTCACATTTGGCCGGGCACGGTGGCTCACGCCTGTAATCCCAGCATTTTGGGAGGCCAAGGCGGGCGGATCACTTAAGGTCAGGAGTTCAAGACCAGCCTGGCCAACATGGTGAAACCCCGTCTGTACTAAAAACACAAAGATTAGCTGGGCATGGTAGCGGACGCCTGTAATCCCAGCTACTTGGGAGGCTAAGGCAGGAGAATTGCTTGAACCCAGGAGGCGGAGGCTGCAGTGAGCTGAGATCGCGCCACTACACTCCAGCCTGGGTCACAGAGCAAGACTCTGTCTCAAAAAAAAAAAAAGCATTCCACATTCAAATGATGCAGAATCAGAATGACATTAAATTTCTAAACAGTGACAAGGAAAGCTTGAAGACAGTAATACCATCCATGATACCATCATGATTTTCACCCTCAAGTACTATAACAGTCAAGCTCTCGGTTGTGTGAGCTTAGAATTAAGAAATTTCTTAATTCTAGGCATGCAGAGTCACAAGATTTACCTCCTGGTTATCTTTTGTCAGGGCAGATTTGTTCACCAGAGCTAGGGAATGGTCCATAAAAAGGGAAACCCACGGGATCTGGGAACCAAGTTATTCAGCACAGAAAGGAGATGACAAAAATTCCCAGAGAGAACACCACACAGCAAGCCCAAAGTGCAGCCAGCCGAAACTGGATGTGGTGGATGAAAGGTGCCAGGAGGGATGGCTCTGGTAGACCTACAAAGCCAAGAGGATCTTTCATGCTGCACAGAGATGATACTAAAACCGGTGAGAGGCCGGGCGTGGTGGCTCACACCTGTAATCCCAGCACTTTGGGAGGCCGTGGTAGGTGGATCATCTGAGGTCAGGAGTTCAAGACCAGCCTGGCCAACATGGTGAATCCCCGTTTCTACTAAAAATACAAAAAAATTAGCTGGGCATGGAGAATTGCTTGAACCTGGGAGGTGGAAGTTGCAGTGAGCCAAGATCACACCATTGCACTCCAGCCTAGGTGACAAGAGTGAAACTCTGTCTCAAAAAATACTAATAATAAAATAAATAAATAAATAAATAATAAAACCAGGGAGAGGGCATGCTTCAACCAGATGACACATTGGCTCTAGGCCACTGGTGCCCATGCAGCTGCCCATGATCCCTGAGCACCATGAAAAAATATATTGGCGGCAATGTAAAGAGAAAGAAGGTAAGACAATGAAAAAGAAAAAAAAAGCATGATCATTAACTCTGGCAAAAAAAAACAAAAGTTACATAAGAAAGGAAATAATGGAGTATGACTGCATTTACATTATAATAATGAACACAGACTAAGGATTTAACAACTGTGGTTTTGCCATATTGAGGGTATCGGGGAAAGAGAAGGAAAGTAGAAGAGAACTAAAATCCTCATCTGTTACAATAGGAAAGTAGAGGGTTTAAAGGGGCTGCATCAGCAGGGGATGAAGAGGAGAAGGGGACTAAGCTTGTTGCTTTTTGCTACAAAATTTAGCATTTTTGACTTTGCAAATCAAGTACATGTATTTATTTACACCCAATGAAGATGCTGTCTGAATTTTTCCTATTTAAAAGCATTCTTGGCCGGGCGTGGTGGCTCAAGCCTGTAATCCCAGCACTTTGGGAGGCCGAGACGGGCGGATCACGAGGTCAGGAGATCAAGACCATCCTGGCTAACACGGTGAAACCCCGTCTCTACTAAAAAGTACAAAAAACTAGCCGGGCGAGGTGGCGGGCACCTGTAGTCCCAGCTACTCAGGAGGCTGAGGTAGGAGAATGGCGGGAACCCGGGAGGCGGAGCTTGCAGTGAGCTGAGATCTGGCCACTGCACCCCAGCCTGGGCGACAGAGCGAGACTCCGTCTCAAAAAAAAAAAAAAAGCATTCTTCAACATGGTTCTGTGGAGAAAAACTGGAAATTAAATTTCAAGTTGAAAAATTATTTAGAGAACACATTTTAGAATATTGTCTTAAAAAACAAGCATACAAATCCCATTTTTCCTCCTCACTTTTAGTATTTGCATACAACAATATATTATTTTCCTATTTTGTGAGATGCCTTTGTACATATTGTGACTATTTTGTGCGGTACTTGTTTTATTGTGACTTGTATTTACTACTCCCACATAGGGAATCAGCAGTCCCCACTGTATTATCTTATCCTCATTCCCTTCCCATTTATTTTTATCTTACACTTCGCCTCCATTGGTGTTTAGCATTCTACATACTATTTATTCAGCATCTGTTTATTTAATGCCCTCTGCATAGTAGGTACTGGGAATGTAGCAATTAGCAAGATAGATACAGCCCTCACCTGCACAATCTACTGTGTCTGGAGCTAATGTCTATATTAGCTAGGGAATAGCCCACAAAAATTTTATTTCTAACTGAAAATTGTATTTCACCTCTAGTTGATAAGACCCCACCCATTACTCTTCATTATTAAAATAAGCATTATCTCACAGGAATACTTTTCTGTAAAAATGCCATGAAAACAAAAATGTATCTATTTCATATAGCTATTTTTCTGGCTCTCTTATGATTTGTTTCTTTTAATTTATATGTTTAACACCTTAAAATCACCTGTCCACCCCAAAGGCAGTAATATTGATAAAAATCGTCTAAGTCACTCCTGCAAAACAAATAGAAGCCCATATCCCTTAAATGAAATCGGATACTGGATTTGGAACCGTCCCCATTTGTTTGCAATGCTGTGATTCTTTTATCCATAACATCCCTGGATATGAGGTAACCTTCACTATTCTCATGAGTACAGGAATGTTGGAGATCCCATCCTGGAGTCTATATTATTCACTAGAAATGGTCATTAAATATGCTGAACATAGCATAATGTTAACCCTATTTGCCTCAAGTTATACTGTACTTATTTTAAAGTACACGAAATTAGTTTCATCTCTGCAGATGTCAAACAAGGGCATTGTCATAGAAGAATCACTGAACCAGACACTTCATACCGAAGAGTAAATTGAAAGTGAAATAGGAAATAGGTCAGGTTTAAGGAGAAGCTGCAAGAAAGCCAACAGTAAGATTTGAAAATTATTTAAAATTTTTACAATATATAGTTTGTTTAAAGTATCTTTGAGGCTAAACATTCTTGGATTCTTGGTGTGACCTTTGAAGAATGGGTAATAACCCTGACTAGGTTTCCCAGGTTGAACCACCTGAGCATGTTAAAGGTGAAAATAGGAATCTAATCAGAACATTTATTACACCATAAAGCAATTTTCTGAAAATGTTACTCAGTTCTATGACCTCATTACCAGGCATCTGTTCACAAGGTCACTGTACAAGTTTATTTTGGCTGAGCAAAGCATAAACATTTGAAGGACCTTCAAGGATTTTGCTGAGGATGTTTAACATTCCATAGCTTTCCACATGAGAAACGTAGGTGGTTTCGTGCAG